TGTGATAATTACCAGGGATCATATCATATTTTGTTTGTTTTTATTGTACTTGGGTTCTTTTGATACTTGGGGATCTGCAGATGAATATTTTTCATCAAATTTAGGATTTTCTGACCATTATTTCTTCAAATATTTATTTTCCTTTCTCCACGCTTCCTGGGTCTCTTTACATTACATTATATTATAAATACTGTTCTCCCACAGGGCTTTCGTTTCTTTTTAAAATTCACTCTGAGTCTAAACAAAATCTGAAGTTCTATTCATTTTTCTTCAATCTTTTTCTCTCTGTGTTCTTTAGATTGAATAATTTCTGTTGATTTTCTTTTCAGTTCACTCATTCTTTGTTCTGCCAAGTCAAATCTGCTATTGAGCCCATCTAGTGAATTTTTTATTTCAGTTATTATACTTTTCAACTCTAGAATTTCCATCTATAATTTATATGTCTCTATTGATATTTCTTGTCATCAAATTTTTAAATTTTAAAAATACATTTATATCTGCTACTTTGAAGTTGTTGGCTAAATCCAACATCTGAGCCTGAGCCTGTTTCTAATTATGCTTGTTTTCTTGAATCTGAGTCACAATTTTGTTTCTTCGTATGTCTTATAATTTTTTTAATGAAAATTGGACATTTTCGCAATTTTTTTTTCCTTTTTATTTTAGTAGCTTTGGGGGATACAGATAGTTTTTGGTCTGGGCTTTAAGAGTATCCACCACCCCCACCTGTGCACATTGTGCCTAATAGGTGATTTTTTATTTTTGTCCCTCTATCCCTTCTCTCCCCTTCGGAGTCTGTAATGCTCATTTTACCATTCTCTATATCTTGGCATATGCTTAGTTTGGTTCCCACTTATAAGTGAGAACATGCAGTGTTTGGTTTTCCGTTCCTGAGTTAGTTCGCTTAAGATCATGTTCTCCTATCCATTAGTAATGTACTAGAGTGACTCTGAGATATTATTTTTCTGAAAGAAGTGTGTGTGTGTTTTAAGTAATTTGTCCATAATTAAACCATGGAATATGACTCCTGTACAGTGTGTGTCTGCTGATGTTTCTCCTCAATGATTTTCATTCTTCATTTTACTCTTTAGCCCTTCTGGGAGTCACCCCTGTGTTTCTATAGCTTAATGGTTAGCCTATCATTAGGGCCAAAGTTGTGCTCAAACTTTCACCCTCTGTTGATCCAACTGCTTATGGGTTGGGAAGTGCGTTCAAAGTTCTGCATTTCTCAAGTCTGCCTTGGGTTTTTCTGTTGAGATCTCTCATGTCTCCCCTCCTCATCCATGTAGTTTGGCAGCCACTCAGGGATGTAAGGAGAGCATTTTTAGCCCTTCTGTGATTCTCTTCTTTCCAGAGTCTCCCCTTCAGGTTTCTTGCTGGTCCACCACTCACCCTAATCAGACCACAGCCTCGAGCTAGAAAAACTGTTCCCCTTGTTAGGGTCCTACCAAGCTTTCCACTTTCCGCTACCAAAGCTGTGGTTTTTCTATCACTCCTTCCATTCCCCTTTTGCCCCAAGTCAGGTCTACCCTCTCTTGCAGTGAAAGCTGCTGGTTTTGTCCCTACCCTGATAAAACTAAGTTTTAAAGCCTTAAGTTTGCAGATTCCTGATGGTCTTACCCTAAGCTCTAGCAGTTTTTTAGGGAATTTCTCTATTTATTATCTGCCTTTGATTGATTTCCAGAATCCTGGAATGGCTGTTTCTGACAACTTTGTCCAATTTTCTTATCATCACTTTGTTTAGAGGAAAGGATTCACTGACCTGTTCGTGTCGTCATTGCCAGAAGTCCCTTCCCTGAATCATTTCATGTCGTTTTATAGTTACTCAATACACCTCTCCTCACCATTGCCCATTTCTCTATCTCTTTTTTCCCCTTATTGCTACCATTGTTTCAGACCCCTGGATTGTATATGTCTAATGAAACTGAGGGCAAGTTTACTCTTCAATATAAATACATACAGTTAAGACGTATGTTCCTCACCCATATCAGAAACTGTTTACTGTATAATTTTGCAAATCAACCAATTTCAGTTCCTAAAGATATGTGGAAATAAGAATAGTAATTCATATGTATATATTGTGAGCTTAGTGGTGCTAAAAATAGCTGAGGAAGAAATAGAAAATCTTTTGAGTTGCACCTATAAACAGAAATAGCACAATTCTATAACTTTAAGAAGTTATTAACAATAAAATTAGAAAGTTTTTGGATACTCTGGTTGAAAGATGCCCTTGCTTTTTAAAAAAATTTACATTTTATTTTTTATTTTTTAAATTTATTTAATTGTTATAGAGTGGTGGGGCACAAGTGAGGATTTACTACAAAAATAGCTACATATAGGTGAAGTTTGGGCTTCTAGGTAACCTTCATTCCCTCTGATAGTGGACAAGGTACACTCTGTGTTGTAAAAATTACACATTTTAGATGTGAGGATGAATTCGTTGCTCTTAAACTGTTTACCTTTGGAGTGCATGGAAAGGATGTATTATATATAGAGACAGATTAAGCAGTACATCATAAAACCTAGATTTGACAACATTTAGATTTTTATATTAAACTTTTATTATCTGCTTCTGTGTCTCTTCAAATAGTCTATCTAGTTTGATTACTCATTAGTTTCTAAAAATGGTCTAGTAATTCATATGGCCAATTAAGGTTAAAAGGTATATAGGAAACATTGCTATTTATAAATTAATTAGTGACATCTTACATTTGTATAGCACTTCTCAGTTTAAAAATTGCTTCCACAAACAGTATTTCACTGTTGTTTCTAAAATAACCCTTTGTGGTATATTAGGGCTTTCATAGTTGGGAAATTATAAATTCATAGTCTCTACTCTACCACTCAGACTCCTCATCTCCAACACAGTGAAAGAAGACTGTGTACTATATATATTCAGTGGTCCTCTTAGCAGGCATTTTGCATCTTTTCCCACTCAGCCCAAGTATCATCACTGCTGAAAAACCTTCCTGGACTTTTCGAGGCAACGTCAAATTTGTATAGCCTTCATTTGGGCTCAGGTAGAATCCTTAGTCAACCACTTTTTATAGAACATACACAAGGTCTGACAATTAAGTTTGTGAACTTGCCACAGTGCGCTTACGTTGGCAGCACTGTTATGAACAACTCAGAAGGGTTTCATAACCTTGGTATACCAGTGTCTCATAGCTATGTTTGTGTCAACATGTGGCTGTGTCTTGTTGAGTGGCATCCATTATTGTTATTGCATGTTTTTGTTTGCCATCGCAGGAATGTCAGAGCTTGAATTAGAGCAGTGAACAAACATTAAATTTCTCGTTAAACTTGGCAAGAATGGAAGTGAAATCAGGGACAAGTTAGTCCAAGTTTATGGGGATAATGCCATGAAGAAAACATCAGTGTACAAATGGATTAAGTGTTTTTCTGAGGTGAGAGAAAGCATCACTGATGAAGAGAGGTCAGGACAACCAGTAATAAGCAGAACTGACAAAAAGTAGCAAGAATTCATTGAATTGTGCATTAAAATCATGACTGTGAGAAGCATGGCAGACCAAATAAACATCAATAGAGAAATAGGAAAATTTTAACTGAAAATCTTGGAATGAAAAAGTTGTGTGCAAAAATGGTTCCAGAGCCCTTGCATCATGACAGTGTACCAGCTAACACAGCACTGTCTTTGAGGAAGTTTTTAGCCAGTAAACAAATAGCTGTATTGGAACACCCTTCCCACTCACCTGATCTGGCCTCCAATGACTTTTTCTTTATCTGAAGATAAAGGAAATAGTGAAAGGAAGACATTTTGATGACATTCAGGACACCAAGGGTAATACAACAACAGCTCTAATGGCTATTCCAGAAAAATAGTTCCAAAATTGTTTTGACAGGTAGACTAGGCACTGGCATTGGTGGGTGGCTTCCCCAAGGGGAGTTCTTCGAAGGTGACCATAGTGTTATTCAGCAATGAGCACTTTTTTTAAGGATGAATTCGTGAACTTAATTGTCAATCCTCATAAGCTATGATTTTTTTTTATTCACTTTTGTCTCCTTAACTAAACTGTAAGATTTTAAAGAAAATGTCCTTATGTGTTCATCTTTACATTCTCTGATTTATCACAGTGCCCAACATTTGGTAGTTATGCAGTAAATATTTCTTGAGGAAAAAAAATGAAAGTGGGTACAGGTGTACTAATGGCAGTTCTGAAGAGAGACAAGCTGAAGCTTCTTGATGAAGGCACCATTGATCTGGGCCTTGTAGTAACAGTGATTAGAATTTGAACAAGCAGCCAGGCACAGTGGCTCAAGCCTGTAATCCCAGCACTTTGGGGAAGCCGAGGTGGGAGTTGCCTGAGCCCACGGGTTCTAGAACAACCTGGGCAACTTGGCGAGACCTCATCTCTACAATAAATCAAAAAATTAGCCAGGTGTGGTAGCGCACGCCTGTAGTTCCTGCTACTTGGAAGGCTGAGGTGGAAGGATCACTTGAGCCCAATTGGTTGATGGCTGTGGTGGCTGTGAGCGTGCCACTGCACTCCAGCCTGGGTGACGGAGTAAGACTCCAACTCAAAGAAGAAAAAAAAGAATCTGAACAAGCATAGATAATTGTAGGAAAAGTTAAGTCCATCATTTATCAAAACAAAGTTGGAGAGAAAGGAAAGGTCAAAATGTCTTGTATAAAAGCATGAGTTTCCGTTTAACTGAAGTTTTAGGCATTGATGGAGATGTTGGAAAGTAAGGTGGAAGAAGAGTCAGTCAAGTACAAATTGGAAAGAGTGTTTGGATGCCAAGCTAGGAAATATGGACTTTATTGAAGGTTTTGAGCAAGGAAATGAAGTAAGCAGAATTGTCCTTCCAGAAAATTGATCTACTGCAGTGTATGCAAGATGAATAGAGGAAGTTTGACTGGTTAGGAAGGTGTCTTACACTTAGAGTTAGTAGTGTGGTTCTGAACTAGGGGATTGCAGTGGCTATGTAGAGGAGGAAATTAATTCAAGAAGAATTATGAAGATAGAATATTGGATAGAGTCATGGCGCAGGAAGGGGAAGATATCAGAGATTACAATTTGACTGAGGAACAGAAGGCAATCAAGGCCAAGTATCCGCCAGTCAATAGGAAGTTCGAGTATTTGGATCATACAACGGATGTCCAGTTACACGCATGGGGAGATACTCTGGAGGAAGCATTTGAGCAATGTGCAATGGCCATGTTTGGTTACATGACAGATACTGGGACTGTGGAACCCCTCTAAACCATAGAAGTAGAAACTGAAGGAGATGACTTACAGTCTCTTCTGTTTCACTTTTTGAATGAGTGGCTTTATAAGTTCAGTGCTGATGAATTCTGCATACCCCGGGAAGTGAAAGTACTTAACATTGATCAAAGAAATTTCAAATTACGGTCAATCGGGTGGGGAGAAGAATTTTCATTGTCCAAGCACCCTCAGGGAACGGAAGTCAAAGCAATAACATATTCAGCAATGCAAGTCTATAATGAGGAGAAGCCAGAAGTTTTTGTGATCATTGATATTTAAGACACCAGAAAAAAAAGACACTCCTATAAATGACTGTTTTTTTCCTCTTCCTTTTTAGAGGATACCATGACTTAAATTCTGTAATATCTTTTGATATGTGAAAATTTGTAGAGTGTACATTTTTAATGTGAAGTGTGACTTTCTGAAATGAAAAATCAGGGCACAAAAAAAAAAAAGAATATTGGATAGATAGGATTTGACAGTTGATTGGATGAGTAAAATAAGAAGGAGAATAGTCAAAGACTGTACTACCCTTATTGTAATTGCTGCATCTTGAATAAATTATTTTACCTCCAGGGTTCAGTTTTCTGATCTATCAAATGAAGCTTACAACCTACAGGGTTGTAGTGAGAAAAATTAAGAAATGCTTTGGAATTCACTTGCTTAAATAACCCTTAAGATAATTACTTTTAACCATCTCAGATCTTTTGAAATGAATTGTTCCTATTTGTACTATTGGTGCTTTTTATTACTATGAGGTACAACTTATTTTAGGGTAGATCTTGTTTAGCCTTATTGATGGAGAGAACAAAAGGAAAGGACTTATATAAAGATGAGAACTAGACATTGAAATCTGGAATTTTGTTTTTTAAATGTATTTGAGAAATTGATTTAACATTGGGTTAGACGCTTCTGCTCTTAGGATGAGAGTTTATTTTGACAGTCAGTCTGTCCCATACTGTGCATTAGCACAAGAGATAGCAGTTAGGGCTCTACCGCCTGGGCCTGCACGCACTTGGTCATCAGTGGGCCTGCCTGCAGAGAAGAAAGGGCCTCAGCTTCTCTGTATTTAGACATTTTTCTAAATGGCAGCAAGCATAAATAACCAGCATATTTGAAGTAGACAAACTTTAGTGGATAATCTTCAGATGTGAGTTTTATATTTATGTACATATTATAACTACCTCTTGGATTCTGTTTTTCTTGAGGGCAGGAAACCATACGTTCCTTCTTTTGTCACACCTACTGGTATATAATGAATGCAAGTACAAATTGGTAAACACTTATTAGTGTTTTTTAATGGAAGGGGAAAAGCTTATGGTTATTCTAAAGGTGTCAGAAGAATACTATTAAGCATAATGAGTTAACATGCTAGCTTAGGTAACAGAATTAGTTTATCCTGCATTCTCCTACATAATGTAAATACTTTATTTTTCTTAGTTTGACATAATTGGGATTCTTTACTTAGGAGACATAGCATGTTATTGAGTCTTTCACTTCAATAAGTTTTCCCAACTGGATAATTAGGAACATAAAAAACATTTATTTCCCCTTACTCTTCAAAACATAATTTGAAACTACCTTATTTTAAATCAAGGCATCAGTTCTTCCTCCCCTGCCCACCCCCCACATCAGTTCTTAAATACATTTTTTTAATATACATAAACGGGCCCAATAGCTACTTAATAGTAACAGTGCTTACTCTGTATCAGATACTTTTTGATGTACTTCGCCTGTTCAGTTATCACAATACTCTGTGAAATAGGTATTGCTATTACTTCACTTTTACAAATGAAGAAATTGAGGCTTAGAGAGATTCAAGAACTTGTCCAGGATCACACAACTAATAAATGGTGGTGTGAGAATTTGAACACAGGATATCTGGATGCCAAAACCTGCATTCTTTCCTAAAAATTATATCACTATAGTGTCATTATAACAAATGTTTTGTATGTACTTGTTATACTTACATTACTGTACCTGGCCCTCAATGAACCTATAGAAGTCCAGGTAGGAAAACAAAATACAGCTAAGTACTAGAAGGAGAGAGAGTAGGGAAGTGGTTTTATTAAGAGATGCTTTTAGGAGGTACTTCTCCTAAACAGTGAATTGAAGGACATTGCCGGCACTTCCCAAAACTTCTTGGGAGATTTACAAGGTCAAAATGTTTTCATAATAATACCAAGATCTTGCTTGCTATTCTCACCATATTGACTTTTACAATCAGTGGGTAAAATTGCCAGAACCTTAACATGAATCAAGGCAATGGCACCAAACTATGCTCCTGGCAGTCATTATATTCTTTACTGTCAGGGTCACAGGAAAACAATAAAAGGATATTCATTTAAGAATATTCTTGATAAAGCAGTAAAAAACATTAATTTTATTAATTTTCAATTGAGTACATGACCTTTTTCATATTCTTTGTGGCAAAGTGGAACATATTCATAAAACATCTGTGCTATACACCAGAACATTTTCATTGTCTAAAGAAAAAGAATTTGTGTGATTAAACTGTGAGTTGAACTAACTGCCGTTTTCATGGAGCACCATTTTTTTCTTGTAAGGACACCTAATGGACATATGTATTTGTACACATGTATTTAGACTTGGGTATCTGGCAGACATTTTCTTGAAAGTGAAATAGGCTCTGTCACTTTAATGGAAAAACTGACACTATTTGTTTCCATTGGTAAAATTCCATCTTTCCTGCAAAAATTAGGGTTTTGAGAGACTTGTTTCCTCCAGGGTGAGTTTGACAGATTCTCAATACTTAAAGATTATTCTGATGAGCTCAGTCATGATATTAACAAATGTGATGGAGGGGAACAGATCTTGTATAATGAAATGTGCTGACATTTGAAAGCGCTCTGTAACTCAGTAAGCCAATATTTTATAAATGACCAGGTTTAATGTTACAAAATCATGGATAAAAGAGTCATGCAAAGTTCATGACTGTCCAAGGGACTTTAGTAACAAAGTATGAACAGTTCATTGCTAAGGTTTCAGATTCACCACTGCATTTAACCTTTAAAATACTACCACTAGCCGGGCTCGGTGGCTCAACCTTGTAATCCTGCACCTTTGGGAGGCTGAGGTGAGTGGATTGCTTGAGCCCGCGGGTTCGAGACCCGCCTGGGCAGGCAAGACCTCATCTCTACAATAAATCAAAAAAAATTAGCCGGGTGTGGTAGCGTGCACCTGTAGTTGGAAGGCTGAGGTGGAAGGATCGCCGGAGCCCAGCAGGTCTAGGCTGCGGTGGCCAGGAGCGGCCACTGCACTCCAGTCTGGGCGACAGTGAGACTCCAACTCAAAAAATAAAAATAAAATAAAATAAAACACTACCACTAGGCCAGTCTCAGTGGCTCAGCCTGTAAATTCCAGCCCTTTGGGAGGCCAAGGCAAGTGGATTGCCTGAACCCGTGGGTTCGAGACCAGCCCGGGCAACTTGCCAAGACCTCGTCTCTACAATAACTCAAAAATTAGCCGGGTGTGGTAGTGCGCACCTGTAGTTCCAGCTACTTGAAAGACTGAGGCAGAAGGATCACCAAAGCCCAGCAGGTCAACACTGGGGTGGCTGTGAGCTTGCAACTGCACTCCAGTCTGGGCGACAGGGTGAGACGCCAACTCAAAAAAAAAAAATACTACCACTTATCAAGTTTTAGTGTATTATCAAAGAAGACTATCCATAGTTGTCTGAGCAGGCTACTAAATACTCCTTCCTTCTCTAACTATCTGCGAAGCCATATTTTTCTTCAGATATTCCAGTTAGAATAACAGATTTCAACAGAGGAAATGCAGATATTAAAAGAGAATGTCAGCCGGGCTCAGTGGCTCAACCTGTAATCCCACGCCTTGGGAGGCTGAGGTGAGTGTATTACCTGAGCTCACGGGTTCGAGACCTACCTGGGCAACTTGGTGAGACCTCATCTCTACAATAAATTAAAAAAATTAGCCGGGCATGGTAGCACGCGCCTGTAGTTCCAGCTACTTGGAAGACTGAAGCGGAAGGAT